TAGGATTACCAGTAACAAAATGAGTAATATGTCTGAACCAAATAAGGTAAGGGTCATTGTATCAAAGCGGTTGACAGGTGCATCACAAATATTTTGAAGTCATTGGTTTCAAAAAGACAACCATTGTGCATGCTCCAACTCCAAATTTGTATTTGATCTTCCTCGACGACCATGGTGAACACGAGTAAAATCAAATGAAAATGGAGTTTGGTATCATCTATTTCAACCTAAATTGCCTCATAACTTGAGCAGACAAGTGGACCTTGACGACATCCCAACAAAAAATTGAAGCTCTAACACGCCATATGTCTCGTCCAATGCGACAATAGTGGATACAATTCTCAATTAAGTCGTCAAAATATGATTCCCAAATAAATTACATGAAAAGAAAAAGCAAATGAGTCTCAACTAAAATATACATAAAAATCAAAACAAAATTTATATAACACCGTACTTGATTCTCCGTCATGGAATCAAATGCATTCCTAAAAACTACCAACATATGTTTTAGTAGTGTCGGTCCAACTGGAATGTGCAAACCATCTAGTAACATGTGAAACCCTAGGTAAACGGCCAACATGAAATATATTTGTGTCCCTTTGTGCTATTACCATTTACCAGAGGTCGGAGGACAGTAACTCTCTCTCATGCCCAAATCTTTATATATATGTATGTAATATATATATATACAAATAATTAGGTAATTATATAAGCTAGAAGAAAAATTAATAAATAATTTATGTAGTTATTAAGTATCTTGGAGTTATGGTAGAACTTCAACTATCTCATTTTGGATACTCTATGAGGCCTTGCAAAAAAAAAAGTGATACAAACGCACTAAAGTCGCACTACCCCAACTGTAAGACTCAATTGCATTGATGTCCTCAAGCATAAAAAGATACATGAGTTTTGTATGATTATCCATCATCATACAAACAATCATCCAGGACATGTAACCTCTAGTTTTTGATTGACCATATCTTGTCTTGCCATGTCAGGCAAATAGGGTTGCCCTAGCATGTGCACATTAAATGTAGAGACCTTAAGGCTACTAAGGTTGTGCAAAAACTTAACCAACCGATCAATCAAATCGAAAAAGTGTTATTGATTTATTGCTATTAGGTTATTGGGTTAACGATTTTTTACTGATTTTGCAGAAAAAATTTATCAGGTTATCAGTTCAATTTGATTTTTTAATATTGGGTTATTGGGTAAACCGTTAACCCGTCAGAGCGTAGTAATTTACTACTTTACCTTACATAAATATTAAATATTAATCTCAATACCTTACTAGTTAGTACATTTGCCCTTTAGGCTTTAATTCACACTTCATAGTAATTATGATTTCACAACTTCACATTATACAAAATGTCAAAACTTAAAGTAAGAACCCTATTCATCTTAATTTCTCTTTGTGTTACACTTGTATTGTTCTTTTCATCTTATTTATGTTTCTATTTTATGAGCATTTGTAAAGTTACATTATTGTCTTGTCACGTCAGATTGTTGGAGAAGTCATATATTTGTTTTATAAACATTTTCTTATTGGTTAAACTAAAAACTAAACCGTTAAGGACCAAAACCGATACAACTGAAAATTGATAAAAAAAATAAAAATCTTATTCATTTGGTTATTGATTTAGCGTATTTGAAACCGAAGATCGATAAATCAAATCAATAATACATAAAACTGAACAAAACCGACCGATGCACACCCCTAGAGGCAACTATGGTTGAAGTTTTGAGAATGTGGAATCAAATCTAAGTCTTTTGACGAATGTTTTGTCAATCTCTTATAGTCGTCATCGGCTCATTACCAAGTATTGGATCACCATTCACAAGTGAGCTAAACAACACCTCCACATCCTGCAAGGTGATCGTTGCCTCAACCATCTCTAAAGTAAAATGTACGAGTCTCACAATGTCATCTCTCGACTAATAAAGTGATTAAGCTTTGATTAAAAATAGGTCAATGACATCTATAAAATATATAAACACCGTACAATTTGAATAATCTAATCACTTCTAAAACTCGTGGCTGGATGGGATATTTTTATATGAGGTCCCAAGACTTGTCATCACAAGTTCTCATATTTAAAATTATATTAACACATCCATCCCATATATCCTGTGTGACCTATGTGTGAGTTGTTTAGTTAATACAAACGGTTCAAGTGGACCAGGATCCAACTAGTGTGCATTATTACCAACCATAAAAGTACCTATGAAATGAAGAACATATGAAAGTAAACTTAAATATTAACCTGATATTAATCCGAGAAGATATCAAGAAAATTAAAACAAAATTATTAAATAGAAAAACTTTAATGACATAATATACATACCAAAGGATCAAGCACACAAAAGGCTTTCAAACATCCCAAAGATCAAGCACACAAAAGGCTTTCAAACATCCCAAGGATCAAGCACACAAATGCTTTCAAACATCCTCTTGAATCTTTTAAACTAGTGTTACCACACCACACCAACTATTCATCAAACACATATCAACTTTCTTGTAAATCCAAATTTTTTTTAAAAAAAAAAAGGAACAAAAGGAGGTAAAGACAGAGTTTAAGAGTGTAGTTAAAATAATATAGTCATAAAAAAATAAGGCCTAAATGTAGAGATAACAATTTTGACAATGCAGGATTTTATAAGGATTGAAATATAGCTAATCCTAAATCCAAATGGAGGGAAAAAAAAATTAAAGGCTGACAACCAATATATAATCAATCTAATGATGGAGTACGTTACTAGAAAATCATAGCTTACATGTTAATTCAGATAATGATGTGTGTATATGTCACACTTGTGTCTTCACCCTGCTATAACTATGTAGTGAGCAATAGTGCATGTCTAGTCCTTCATTTCTGGTTTGATGATATTGTGCTACTTTCCTATTCTACTGTCTTTTCTTGCTGTGTATTGTACTAATTTCTAGTCAATTAGAATTTGATTTCATTAATTCGTATTGAATTTTTGTTATTTTCTGAATGAGTACTACACATTTCTTTTTCATTGTTAAGAGGGTTTCAAATGAAATGCTAAAGTAGTACCCATGCCACTAACATGTGGAGATGACAATGAAGTTCGAAACAATATATTGAAATTTATCTTTAGTTGATCGATTGGCAAATTAGACGGACCTAAAGACCAAGTTCAAGCAGCAACGATACTTACCCCTGGTGCCACCATAACTGGCTTTAGAATCTCTAGAGTGAGAGAGTTTGTTCCTCTGGTACAACCACCACCCGTAGAAGGCCTGATACTTAATTTAGTCCCAAGAAATCTCAAAGTGGCAATGGCATTTTGAGCCAAAGCATAGTGCTTGACTGCTCTTTCTACCATTACGCCAACTGCTACTGCCAGAAGGTGACTATCTGCAACCAGCTCTTCACCATTAGCTGCAGTGTTTGTCAAAGTCATTCCTACTCCTCTAGCTTCTTTTACCACTTGCCCTTGTGAACTCGAGGAGGATTGATTCCGTCTAAACTCGAGCACTGATTCCCCTAGGTATGGATGGATATAGCTTAAATTGGATGGGATTTTTTAATCCTGGTCGTCAACGTGTCTCTCTGTTAGTTATAAGGGCAAATCAATGCCAAAATTAACGCAAGGGGTATATTTAGCCCAAAGTATAACAAGGGGTATATTTAAATTATTTCTGAAAGTACAAAGATATATTTAGCCCTTTTCCATTTAAAAGGTGGCTTATTTCGGTTAAAAATTCACCATATCCTCCGTCTAAACCCACATCCAGCTATTACAGGTCATCAGACTTATTGGATTGTCAACTTGTTGTAGTTCTAAATTTTGGTTTTTGGTACATGACTATTCCCACACGTTCATCCCAAAATTAAAATCCCCTTACTCAACAAGGAAAACACAACAAGCAAGTTACATAACCTCGTCCCCAATCCCCTCAGCTGCAAAACTCATTCATGTGCCACTTACAAACTAAAACAATGCTTGAGACACCAAGAGAAAGATGCCTGTCTAAGTTCATAACTTCATATACAACTTCCACAATCAGATTTGTAAAGCTTATAGTAATCGTTCCTTGTATCATTTCCCCACATTTCCTCCAATTGTCCCATACAACCCTTGCTCCTTTTTCTTTTACAAAAAAAGGTGGTTTCTGGTCCAACTTATTCGCAACTCGATTATCTTATCACATACCTGCATCCTCTTACCGATACAGGTACTAAATAACTTCGTCACCTAACACAAATAGATGTAAGGAGATCACCTTATTTTTCATATTCTTTCGGCCTCTGCTGGGATCCGAACCCCCTAGTTTCTTCTAGTCTGCATTCAAGCTTTACATTGACAGCTAGACTATACCTTCAGACACCACAACGACCTCTTATCTTACAATGACCAAAGTGAAAAATAGCTTCACAATCAAAATTTAATTTAGGTCTTGCGGGAGTTCTCTACTATAAATTCATTAACTAATAAATACTGTATATATGAAGTTCATATTTTGGTTACGACTGATGGAAACTAAATGATCTGCATTTATATTGACTTCAGGATTACAACTAGTTTCAGCTAATAGCCATTTCGAATTCAAGTTGCTTCTATTACACTTCTCCTCAACAAAACCTTAATTTCAAAGAAACTGAGGGTGATGGCCTCCTAAAGTTAGAAGCTTTTACCAAAGCACTTCCCATTTTCCTTTGTGGGACACCAAATCTAAATCAATTAAAGAAGTGAAGGCCTCCATAATCAGAGTTCTATATTTACTTTTTTCAATTGGAACCAGTTATGGTTCTTAAGGTGGTATTCCTATTTTCTGAACTATGTAACCTTGGACTCCATAAATACACCTGACTTGGAGGAGGAATAAATAGATTAACAAAAGTAAGAAAGCAAACAGAGTCTGTCAACTCCAAGGTGTCCAATCCCTTTTCCAAGTCAATAAAAGAACCTTCTAAAAGGAGCAGAGGGGGTTATTATGCACTTCTGCCAAATAAAAGAGGAGATATAAAAACCTGCCAGCCTTCCAAGAGTGGTCCACGACCGCATCTTGCTGATTGGAAATTAGATAAATCAACATTGTTTCTTCCAACTATGTAACTCCAATAATCAGTGGCAGCTGAAGCAATATCAATAACTTCCACCTGCCTAACTGCCAGTTGGTCCTCACTCAGGCCATGCACCTATCACATAATTATCTCAAGTCAATACCAAGATACACACAGGAAAGATGGCATTGGAAGTAGTGATATTATTCAAGCATGAAAGACTAGCAGGACTTCCATTTTTAAGGTTATTGGAACCCTTGTTGTGACTCAAGGATCAAGTACATTGAACTTACATTCTCAGAGTATCCATTGTCAGCTTTGTGGATGGTGTCAATGCTCATAAAGAACTTCGAAAAATATGGTGACTGCAAAAAGAAATCAATTGAAAATTTTAATACTGCACATATCAGTTAAGGATGGTATATGTCACTAGTAATTACCTTAACAACTGCATCAAATGGTGATACATGTTCGACAGAAACCAGTAAATAGGTTAGTATGAAGGCAGAAGGAAGACTTGGATACTAACCAAGAAAAGAACATTAATTGCAAGTAAGAACGTAAACCTGATCGACATTTAGGATATGCGTTCCAGGCTTCTTCTTGCATCACAAGGGCATCAGCTGGTGCAAATGTAGTCAACCAAGATGGCGCTTTGCTGCAATGATGAGGCGAATCAGGTCTCAAACTATAAGCTTTTTAAATACAAAAAAGACTGCTCAAAAGGCCCTCTTTACAAGTTAAGTCAACCAAACAAAACATTTGCCTAGTAGGTTAAAAACCTCTGGCAGATATATGATGCCTTAAGAATCTAAAGCTACTTTTTAACCTCATAAATTCAATATTTATGATTTACCCCCTGCCCCACCCACACACACAACAATAACCTTCTTATGCCAGAGCAACCATGCCCAAAGTACTTAACTTCTTTTGTGTAAAATCCATCAACTTTAATAATCACAAACTTAATAAGTTTGTGATTGATTTAAAATATCAATAAGATAATAACTGTCTATTAGTACCATCACTGCTTACTCAATCAATTCAAGACGGAATTTAGCTATAATCAAATAGAACTCATTAAATAAGTTTGAACTCAAGTTACCTCTGCAAGTGGTAAAATTTTGATGTGTACTGCCCCCCTACAAATTCATCATCACTAAATGGTCTGTTTTGTAAAACCTCCACTCCTTCATCACCTGTGGTGCTTTCCTGTTGCATTTTCATGACCATGTACATCTGAGCTACCTGATACTGCAATTCAAATACTAAATTAATTTACTAAAATAAGCATTCAGTTTACTCTAAAAGTTGTGCAGTTTAGTCTACCTCTTCCAATGACAAGGGCATCACAATTCGACTTCAGAGAATCCCCAAGTGACAAAGAAGTCATTTGGTCAAGGAAACACTAACAAAATGGAACATCCTACAAATTAAAGTTCAATATATCCTTTTAACTAGAACTTGACGTAACTGATAGTGTGAAAACAAGCTCCTCTACAAGAAAGCTCCTGCCTTTTTCTAATCGTTTTGACCATCAGAAAAATTCTGTAAGAACTAAAATTAATTTTTCAAAAAATCACTATTAATAGGCATGTGATCTAAGTAGGCAAAATTATAAACATGCAACAATAAAAGAATAGCTAGAATTCATGGTTAAAAGGATACAATTCCTTAATCTGAACCATTTCTACTATATTGACCGAAGCAAAAGTGAATGAAACGTTGCAATTTCAGTGACCCAATAAGTCAGGAAACAGGGGAAGAGAAGAAGTATGAATTTTATATCAACCCACAAATTCAGAGAGAGGATGGGTGATGGTGGTGTTGTGGCAGACGCGTAGAAGAACATTCAAGAAAAGGTGAAGTGCTGAGGAGACACGTTTGACTAGAAGATGAGAGGCGGTCCTTCTTAAACAACGTGTACTCTTCTGCAGAACTTTGATCTTCCCAATGACATTTTTTGTTTCTACTGTTATACACGATCCTCTGTCTCAAATTATTATCTGCTTTTTTATAGGTCCGGTACATTATGCGATATGAAATTATATGATATGAATATGAAATTTAAGTTTTGTTTGGATATCTCATTTAAATTTTTTATATTTTATGTATTTTCATAAATATAAAGATATCATAAGTTGAAAAATTATTAAAATTGTCTCAATTCTTTATACAATTTTACCAAATAAACACAAGTTTATAAAGTCTCATAGTAAACTGTCACAAAGATATTCTTAAAAAATATAATATTTATTGATCAAGTTTTGATTCAATTAGAAAAAGTTATACATAAGTTGTGGTGTACTAGTTTTTAGTATAGTCCTCCCACATATATAGTATTGACAATTTTCTCATGTTCATTTCTCGTTTATATGATTGAAAAAATGAACCAACATTGTTATTTTGAGTCATCTGTTAGTCAATTTGATTGGTAAATATATTTGATAAAAAATAATGAATTTGGTAAATATAAATGGTAAAGTAGAAATTGATTTGAAGTAACAATAATAAATTCTAATGTTAGTAAGAATAATAATTATATGAGATATAAATGATTTGAAATTTTATTTACAGATGAAATAAATGGTTAGTAGATATATATGTGGGGTTGTTTTTACAAAATATAAACTCGTGAGTCAATTTTTGTATTTGAAATTTTCAAATCATGATCTTTGGAGAATATGAAAATTCATCTCATGGTGTGAAATCATGAGATGAAATCAGCATGAAATCGCATGTCCAAACGCTGATATCATCTCATGATTTCATATCGCATGTCCAAATGCCTCTGTTTGCCATGCGATATATGAAATCATGAGATAGAGTTGAAGTTTTGTTTGGACATGCGATATCACATATTTTTCCTCATAATCATAAGAATCTCATAAGTTGTAAAACTACAATAGTCTCAATTATTTATTCAATTTTACCAAATAAACAAAAAATGATATAATTAATTATTACAAACCATTGTGGCCAGTATTGTTCACTCAATATAGATGAGTTTTTTTTTATTAAACATTAAAGTAGAGGTATAAATTTGGTTGATAAAAATAATAAATTAGTTGAATATAAATGATCAAGTACGAATTGATTTAAAGTAATAATAAATTTTATGTTGGTGAGAATAATAAATTTTAGACATAATACATAAACATGACCATTAACTTGGCTTCATCGGACAACTATGTCCTCCAACTTTGAATATGCACAAGTAGACACTTAAACTTGTATAAAAATGAATAAGTAGACACATGTGTCCTACATGACTTAATACATGTAGGACGCCAAGTAGGACACAAAATCTCCATGTAGGGTGCCATGTAGGAAGGATGTGTCTATTTGTTCAATTTTATACAAATTTAAGTGTCTATTTGTGCACACACATCTAAAGTTAAAGGTCATAGTTGCCGGCTGACACCAAGTTAAGGGTCATGCTTATATATTATGCCTAAATTTTAAAAAGTAATGATATGGTTATAAATTTTATTTATATATGAAATAAATAGCTAGTAGATATAAATGTGAGGTTGTTTTAACAAAATATAAGCTTGTGGGTCAATTTTTGTATTTGAAAAATCTCAAATCATGATATGGAATTCCCAAATCATGATTTTTGGAGTATATGAGATATATCATGAGATGAAATCAACGTGGAATTACATGTCCAAACGCTAATTTCATATCACAATTTCATATCGTGATATGATATTGCATGACCAAACACCTATATCTCCAACCTTATTATATAATTTACTCTTCAAATATATGTTTTTTTTAGAGAGAACCAACTCCAGTTTAATTCTCAATTTTACTCTCTAAAATAGAATCTTCTTCTATCTCTTCAATATTATATTATTATTTTTATTTCACAATATATGTTTTTCTTTCTTGTTTTACAAATATTCTTTTCAATTTTTTTATTTAATATAAAATTATCATTTTTATTTTAAATTTTAAAATAACATAAATTGTAACCAAATATTATATAATATACTCCCTCCGTTCACTTGTACTTGTACTTAATCCTAAAATAGATTTTCATTTTTACTTGTTACTTTTAATATATCAAAAAAAGACAATTAGTGTTTTCCATGTTTTTACCCTTAGCATTAAATATTATTCTCGATATCATTTTTCAAGACTCAATACTAAACATTAATTAGTAGGGATAGTGTGGTAAAATACATATATCATTGATTTTTTCCTTAATGGGTGTTGATGAGTCCACAATTTGGACTCATTTAGGGGTTCATTTTAATAGAATTAGTGTCCTCAAATGCATATTTTGTCTCAATAACAGATGCAAATCCTAAAGTTTCAGGTATTTGGAGTTTGAGGCAAAACATGGACACTACTTGACAAAAAGGAACAAAACGACTGAAAAGACGAAGAAAAGAAGGCCTAAGGATCGCCTAATGCATTCGGTGAGTCGTCGAATGGCCTTAACATCGTCTAATGTTCCAGTGTGCTTAGCCCTGAAGGAAAAGATCAAGTCGGTGATGAAAAGGGGCAGTCGGCGCGTCGCCGAACAGTTCTGCGAAGCAGTACTATATCGCCCAATGATCCAGAACGCGAAGATACTGAAGGCAAAAGGTGAAAGGCGATGAAGCAGATCAAAGGGCGGATCGCCGATTGCATCGACGATCCCGACTAACTGCGCCGAGTGATCCTTTGCAACACATTTTTTGACAACTATAAATACTATTTTGAATTTTTATCTTAGTATGCAATTTCAGATACAACATTTTATTTTCCAAGTTTTCAAGTAGAGAACATTTTTGCTTAGCTTTTGAAGATTTGAAGACTTCCAATTCCAAGAAATTGGAAGTGGGTGTTGAAGATTCTTCATCCTAGATTCGTTTAAAGTGAATATAAATCATACCCAGTTGATGTTACTTCGATTTGGTATCATTTTCTTCCTTTTCTCTATGTCTAGCTAAAACTCCAATTCTTGGGGTGTGATTTTGTGAATATGGATTAAATTTCTTGTTGGGTATTGCTTATTGTTAGTCTATTTGGTGTTTAAATGTGATTTTGTTTAGTAGTTGTGTTTGAACTTAATGGGATTGTAGTTGCAAATATGATTTCATCTTAGTGTTTTTGGCTTGCTCGAGAGAGAGATTTTAAAACTAAGACTACTAAATCGATAGCCGGTGGTTACTGGGTCGTCGTGGGTTCAGCTCGAGAGAGTGAATCCTAGGCCTTTTCCCATACATTCAGATTGAGAGAGTGAATGGGCTAAGACAGAGGTTGTGCTTAAAAGCGACAACTCAGTGTTAGAGAAAAAACCGAGTTGATTCGGGGTAAGTCGCTCGGGAGAGAATTAACCCCACTAATGTCTAGCCTAGTTACAAATGTTTGGCAATTGACTATCAATAGCATTTACCCGATTGTGTAGTTTATCCCATATTCATATCACAACCCAAGAATCCCATCTCCCTATATTCACATATTTTTGTATTTTCGCTGTTTTAGTTGTTAATCGACTACAAATCCCCATTGATAATTGACATTCGTGTCAACCCTTTAATTTATTATGTTTTTACTCGATAATATTTTTAGCTATGGTTAACTTTAGCATATTCGTGCTTAATTCTTAATTCTCAGAAACCGCTCCCTTGGGACTCGACCTCAACCCATGCGATTGAGTTATATTACTATTGTATGATCATAGACACTTGAATTGAAAATTGTGTCTTGATTACGCAAACATCAAAATGACGCCGCTGCCGGGGAGTGATGTTACTTGAGAATTATTAGTAGAGTCGAATTTTGCTTTTGTTAGTCGTAGTTTTACTTAAGTTTTAGTTTTGTTTTTCTCTGTGTTGCCATTGTAAACAGATACTTTGAGCATGACTGATAGAAATGGTGGCAAATTGGCTGAGACGAACCAAGGAGTCTAGAGGAACTTCATGTTAACTGCACTGATAACTCAGCTAGACGATTTGGCCACTAAAATATCAGAGATAGAAGTCCAGTGCAAAAGAAAAGGGAGGTACATACCCCTTCATGAACGGAGAAAGTATAGAGACAATGAGAACAGTTGTGTCGAGGATACACTACTAACCATTCTCCAAAAGATCACTGAGCAAGATAGAATGCTGGAAGAGATGAAGGAGAATATTGAAGTGTTAAATCACATGATTGGCTCTCACTCGAGATCTATCCAACTGATCGAAACACTCATGAGTCATGTAGTACCTCAGCTCCACCCAAATAAGCAATTGGGGTTAGCAAGTAGCACTAGGGATAACCCCAATAATGGAGTTTGAGTAAGGACGTGCGTCGTGCCACGACGTTAACTAATGTGCTTCTTGGGAGACAACCCATGTTTTATCGTTTTGATTTGATATTCTAGAATAAAGGTGTGTTGATTGTGCAGGTTTGAGTGTGGAAAGTGTTTGAAAGTGCAGGTTAGCAAGCGAATGTTCCAATCGGCACACCGCCAAAGAGGTCGGCGTGCTCGAGTTGATCCGCCGTTTTGCTCAACAAAATTATAGCTTGGAGCCTATAAAACTCAGCGAGTCCATGAGCAACTTGGCGACTCGCCGACTAGGTCGGCGATCCCGATGTTACCCGCCGCTTGAACCCCCAAGCAACTGAAGGTCCTGTAAAAGTCGGCGGGGTGAATGACCATTCGGCATATTGTCGAGTGGATCGGCGAGTGCGACTAACGTTGCCGAATGGACGCGAAATGGATGGTTATTAAGGGCCAAAAGTTTTAAAGTTTCAAACTATTCACTTTCCCTCGCTTTCAAACTTCACAAACTCACACCAAGTTAGTATTTTAAATATTTTTGCATTTTTAGAGTATTATTAGTGTTGATCTAAGCTCGGGGTTGGATTACATTGCCGCATAGCATTTCAAATATCATTTTAATCGACAAATAAGGTTGGTCTTTCGAATCCCGATTTTATTGTTAGTAATTTG